GGTAGGTAGCACCAGAATGCAGATGCCTCTGAGGTCATTTCACTATTGAGAAGTGAAAGTTATTAGAATTTCTGCCATAAAAATTAATTTCTAAATAGTGGTAGCTAAGGGAATCCTTGAGGGGGCACTTTGGTCGCCTTTTAGGGTTATAGATAATAGTTTTGCTGTTTGTATTATCCATATGAGAGTACAATGGGATCTAATTTAAGGAAGATTGCTTCATTTTCCTGTATTTTATAACGCTTTCACACAGAAGTCTCAGTTGCTTTCTGAGATCATTATCTGTTTTACACACAAACTGAGATGCAGGGATTAGAGTATGTACCAAAGAAACGTCTGCTAAGAAGTGGCAGAACTGGGCATTAAATACAAATCTGCAAGATGCCAGAAAAGTTGTGGATGTCCTGAATATCCTGATTTTATGCTATCCTGCTGTAAGCTGGCTTACAGAATATGGTGTTCTAGTGATCCACAGAAGCATTAAGACCAGATACTCAACATTCAAGACAATTATGGAGTTATAAAAAGCTTCACTACAGTGATTATTGTCTTGACAATAACATTTGGGACACTCTTCTTCCTGTTTACTGTTGGCGGATGCTTTTTCATATCAGAAGCAGCTGAGCATGAAGATGATAGGAATGATAGAAAGAGGCTTGTCCTTATGGAAGAATTCTGTTTGGATGTGATTGTATCAGTCAGGGTCTGTCATACAAGACCTCTTGCTAGAGGCATCCTCATTTGTTCTTCCTACTTCGCTGCTCTTCTGTGTGCCCTCTGTAAAAGGACAAAGGTGATGCTTGTGGAGCTACTCTTAGCACAAAAGGAAGACTCGGTGTTTGGAAGGGGTTTTTTGTCTCTTTCTGAAACTGCCTTGCCTTCTGTCTAAAAGGGTCAGTCCCAAAGTTACTTATGATACCAGTGTGCAAAAGCAGATTTTTTTTTTTCCATTTTTCCCTAGTAATCATTACAAGAAGCTGAACTGGTCGCAAAGGCTGGTTTTCGTCACTGAAGATGAAGAAAGTTTTAATTCAGTCAGTGCTTAAACCCCGTGACCAGGCTTGTCAAGAGAGTAAGTCTGGGCTTTTCCAGGAAACTAGAAGCTTTCAGTCAGAGACTTTTTACTGTCCCCTTAGCTATCGGGCTTCCTGCCATACTACTTTTGTTTCAAACGCAGAAATGGCATAATGCTAATTCTAAAAGATGCCTGTATCAAATCTAAAGAGCTGTTGCAACTGCAATATAATTTGGCTACCTTTATGCATTTTTTTGGAAATTCTACAGAACACTTGCACTGTGTGGTTGACAGGCCTGTTCTAGGATTGTCCCAAAAATAGCCTAATGACCTATTCTGGTATCTTCATGAGTGTTACATTGAAACTTTACCATTCTGTTGATATCTGTCTTGAGAATATTCCAACATCTCTAGACAGAATAAGCTAATAGTTCATGTAGTATAAAAGCTAAGAGTTCCTTAAGACTTAACCATCATGTCAAGAGCAGTTACTGCTATTTGTTTTTTTTGTTCTTCTGTTATGATTCATCCAGATATTTTCAGAAACAATCAGCTTAGCAGAAAAGCCTGAGAAATTCAGGTCATATTCCACAGGACCTTTGAAGGCTTATGTTGAATACCTCTAAATTAAAGTATTTTAAGACAGTTCTCAGAGCACAGTGGTTCTAGAAAAAAGGTCAGGAAGCTTCCCAGTCCTCTGTTTTACTAGATTAAAAAAAGTCCCTCTAAGGCTTCATCAGTGATGCAGTGCTAAAATCTGAGGTTGCTCTTCTCTATCTCAGTTTGTTCCTTGAACAGAGAAAACAGGCACTTCCCCCAGCCTTCTTTAAACTGCTTAAACCTCACTTCACCCTTCCTCTAAGCATTGTAGGATCAATGCCCAGCCCTCAGCAATTAGAAGTGACATACTTCTTAACTTTATTGTTGTTTGCTAATTCCTCCATACCATTAGGTGGTTCCAAGTTTTTATGTTGACATGAAAAATCAAAGCATATTTTTCTTTCCCATCTCTTGTCAGGGCAAAGACATTGTGCTGGAATGGGAATACAAAAGCAGTTAAGTATGAGGAGATACAAGCAAGGGCTCTATATGTACAAAAGATCCGAATCACAGCTGATACTCCAGTGTTGATTGCACTTGTACTGTTTACTGGATGGTTAGAAAGATACTTGAAAACTCAGCTGACTATACCATGTAAAGCAATTATCATCTACCACGTAGACACCTGGAGGAGTAAGAAAATTAAGAAAACAAAACTGAAGAAAATGGTCTCAAGAAAACACTTCACATCTGAAAACATAGGAACTCAAAGCAGACTCCAGGTTTAATCTTGCTGGGTTAAAAAGGAAAGGATCCATGGCATGTTTTTTGCCTTGTTTTGAAGGGAAGGAGGCACAGGAAGTAAAAGAAGAAAATAAACCTGTCTTGTGGTTTTGTTATCCTTTCTATAAGACAAAAGGACAGAAATAGGATGAAAAGGGCTTCCCTTGCAGAATAAATCTGTTAAAGGGAAATACAGAGTTTGAATACTCTTCTGTGAGAATGCTAACATGCCAGAGACCCTATATAAAAAAGTGTAATTGTCAAGGATGCTTTTAAAACAAAAATTTGCATCATACCTTCTGTCCAGAGGAAGAATTATTTAACATAGCTACTTAATTCCTCAGAACAGAATTGTCCTCAATAATCTCAGTTAATAAGTTCAAATGCACAATTCAGAAGTAAGTTTGGTATTGCAGGTTCCTTTGTTGCTATTTCCTTTTAGCAGGTGATTCTTTTGGAAAAAAAAAAAAAAACAGTTCCATAAGCTGTAACTTCATATTCAGTACTAGATTTTTCTGTAATTTCTCTAAAAAAACCCCTCAGTTATCTTTGGTCTTGGTTGTGATCTCCATGGGCTATTCAGACTCTGTTACAGGTGAAACAAGCAAGCAAAATATCTTTCTAATGTTTTCTTTTTTACCCAGAATTCCTTAAAGCCACCTGTATGTACCCTTTTCTTTGGGTCATAGTCTTTAAGTTGTCTTATCTGGAGTTTTGCATTTGTTTAATGTGCAATTGAGAGGGCGTTGGCATTGTTCATAAGTAGTCAGAGCACAGTGTGTGGAATTGCACTAGGCAACTTTACTTTCCATTATAACTTGTACCTTTTGGACAAATTATTAATCTTGAAGGGTTTGTTTGTTAATAAAGATAGATCATGATATTCTTTCAGTATAAGTAAAAGATTTTTTTTTTCCTTTCTTATGTTTATTGGTTTTGCAGTTTACATGCCGGAAAATAAGCCGTTTTTTTGTTTAATAGATATTTTGGATCTATGAAATGAAACCCAGCAAAAGTCGTTCTGACAGGACTGACGGATATGGGGATAGGGCTCAGCTGCTATAGGCTTCAAAACTTGATGACAGCCTTAAAATAAGTAATCAAGTACTGTGTGGAAGGACAGTGAATGTCAGTTTGAAGTTGGTTGTCAGAGTAAAGATTGTTTTATCGCTGGCTGCTGCGGGGAGAAATTGTTATTTCTTACGCTTCAGACTTTGCCCTTCATATTCTGGGGTCCTCATCACATGGACTAACCATAGGTAACATCTAGGTTGTATACAGGCACTTTTTTGTGGGTCTTCATCGGGCATTCTGGTGAAGTTTTTTTGTTTGGGAAGCAAAACTAGCAATAACAAATATTCATCCACACTCTTTAGATATGCATTTGCACACACTGGAACTGTATTATTTCTGACCTGGATTATTTTGTGGGATTTAAAACTTTTTAGATGGGGGGTGGGGGGGGAGGAAAAAAAAACCCAACAACAACACACAAAGAACCCAAACACAAAAAATGATTTGTCTTGTGTCAGACAGAAGTGATTGTAATGTGTTATTTCTTTTACATAAATGCTTTACCTGCTAATTTGTGTTAAGGCTATAAATTTCTTTTTCTCTCTGGTTTTTATTTTGTTAGAAATCAATCTAACATTAGAAACATTTTGTCAATATTAATAATTACTTGCTAGTGATCATATATTAGTGATTTCCCTGTCACTCAGAAGGTAATGACTTGGTAGCATCACTTTGTAGAGTATTTTGCGAATATCGTTAGAGCTAGGTCTGGCTGTGGTTAGAAAGAAAAGGAGAGAAACTTGCTTTTGATGTCCTACAAACATGTCTGATAGACTTTTGTCCTGTCAACTATGTAAAAGACTGTACATAGCTATACTTACATGAAATATGAAAGCATCACGGAAATGTAGTGTGCAATAAGGCTTGTTCTTCAGTTCCGTTCAGTGCTTTTAATATAAATAGAAATGCCATTATGAAATGGGAGACACTTTTAGGCCATGGTTATTGTATTCATACATACTTTTGAATCCTAACGACTGCAGATTTCTGCATTTAACTTAGTTCCTATTGTTATTTCTTGCCTGCCTATTAAAATGATAGCATTTACATCTGTGCACATTTGTCCTGTTTTGAAGACCCTGGAACTTGTACATGTATAGCAACTATATAACCCTTCAATGAGCAAGTTGCTTGTCCTTTATTGAGTTTTTATCAGCAAATTCAAAGATGCAAAGGCAAAATACTAGGCAACAATAGGTAATGAAAAGAAGTTCATATGACAAACGAATTGGTTCAGTACCTGCACCTCTTACTCTTCCTTCGTTACACTTGCAAGATCTTCAACCTTCCCAACGATAAGTATAATTGTAAATATAAAATTCCCACAACCACATTTACACTGTGGACCGGGGACTCAGTGATGAAAAAAAAAATCCTAAATGAAAGTAATTTTTTTTCTCTTCTAACCAATGAACAAACAGGACCTCAGTTGTCATTGTGACGTGGATGCTTACCTTCTTTCCCTTAGGGCATGCCTATACCCTTCAAGCTTTCCTCTTTTCAAAGGTAGAATGTATAATGTTAAGCATTGCTTCTTAAAATTAACTGCTTTATTTCTTGTTCTTCCTACTTCCCTCCTCCCATACAGTGGAGCAGATTACTATGACTATGGCCATGGACTGAGTGAAGAAACATATGACTCTTACGGTGAGTACCTTTATGAGCTGAATGACTACAGTGTCAGACTCTTGAAAAAGTATAATCAAAGGAGAATTTCCATAAGGCAGGCTTCAGTTCTGCAGTGGGTAACAGCTTTTTCAGGGATTCCTGCACTGTCACAGAGCTCCTCATTTAGTTATTGAGAAAAATACTGAAGGAGGTTTCTGTGGTCTGTTAGCTAACATAGTCATGTGAAACTAAAATCAAAGAAATAAAAAAATAAAATCTAAATCATGCTTCAAGTATCCTTTTCCTGTCACACTCAATGATGTTTAAGGATCAAAAATGGGGGTGTAGGACATTTTCGAGGAGCTGTTTGCGGCTGAAAGCAAAGGTTTGAAGTGTGGCTCAAGTGACGTTGAAACTTGGTACAAGGTAAGAACGTGATGAAGTTCTCGGCTGAGTCAGGGCCTAATTGAGTGTATTTTAGACTTGTATGATCTTTTTGTATTAGTTCATTTTCAGGCATCAGTCTTGTGAAATCAAGCAGGGAGTCATTATGTAAAGGTTATGAAAGTACTTTAGGTAGCTAATAGACAACAGGTCACTGGGTTACTCATATGGAGTCAAAACAATGCGTAATGAAGCAAAAAACATGTCAGTGGTAAAGATCACAGGGGTTTTTTTAAGCTAGTAGTGTGGTAGTGACACGTTTAATTAAAGAAATCTATTACGGATTAGAAGCATAAAGCATGTTAAAAGGCACCTTTGCTTAAGGGATAAATGTTAAATCTCTGGCAAGAGATCAGAGAATTGCAATGTAGATCACTCAAATCTCAAACCTTTGAGAACTGGTAACTAATGTCGAAGAGTCGTGATTCTGGTAACGGATGCTTCACTGATTTTAGAGCGCTACTTAAAATTTTCTGTGCTGTATTTCTTGAACTCCATTTGGAAGTGTTTGCAATGAATGCACCTAATACAGAAGTTTGCTCAATGTCATCTGCTTAAACTCGTTATTTTGCTTAAGGGGAAAGTCAGTTCATCAAAAGAGGAGGTCGCTTGAAATTCCTCTGTTCCCCAGCACTTTCAGTTGATGTTGATAGATACATAGCTTAAATCTTTATTTCAGCATTAAAATAAAGTGTTTGTCTTTATGAGCCTGATATTTCAAAGGCTATTTCATGAATGTAAATTTGATGGGGGAAAAAAATGTATGAAACTGCTTAAAGTAGATAGAGTTGACTTATGGGGGAAGATGTGCATTGCAGTACTTACGGTTCAAAATATGGATTTTTCATTGCTTTTGCATTTAAAATTGGTTTTCTATTTATCAAAGCACAGCCACTCAATATTAAGTGATGTATTTACTCAAGTTGAGAGGAAGACTATAAATACCATGAAGAATGATTATGGGTTACAGCCACTGAGGTTTTTGCACATACAAATAAATAGTTACACACTTTATTTCTTAACTAGCTGACCCTCAAGTACATCCTTAAATGCAGTGTTAGATACTAATAATGATCCTTACAGTATGTAAAGAACGTTAGGTGCCTCGAACTAACATTCATAAGACTGCATAGTAAGCAGATAGTTGCCTAGTGCTGGCCAGGAGGAAACACAGATTCTTACTGATTTGAACAATTGCTTGAAAAGGAACAAGTATTCTCCTTAAACTATAACCAAGTGGTGCTTAAACCTAGGATATTTTTAATTCTTACCTCTTAGCTGCCTTTACCATTAGGCCAGGGTTCTTTTCCTTGCTTAATATAAGCCTTGCTTTCTGTGTGATGAAGAAGCACAAGAGGTTGCTTCTTACATATGTTATGCTGTTATCAGATTCTGGTGGAACTTGCCTGAGGTACAAGTTTAATTCTTTCAGCCTTACATCAAATTTGGACTTGTTCCCTCTACCTCCTAGGCAAATATTCGGACCACCTAGGTATGATATATAACCTGGGCTGGCAACCACCTAATTTTTTTAAAGTAAGGTAACTAGGATGAGACTTCTATGAAGAGATTGTGAAATTGGACCCTTGACTTCTGGGATTCTTGTCACCTAACTTTTTATCTACTGTCTGGGCAAGTTGCCTTACCATTCCAAGTGCAGGGGTTCTTTCACTATTGACTTTGATTTATGTTTTTTAGGTTTTTTTCATGGACTAGAACAACAAAGTGATGCCTACATTTTAGGTTACCATACATTGGGATTCCACCCTTAGTTTCTGGATTCATTGGGTTCACTTGGACACCCATCTGCTTAGGGCAGGGCAATTTTCCAGAAGTTGATATGGAAGCACATACATGTTGTCAGATGTGTTTGGTTTTGTTTCTTTTTTTTCTCTCAGGTATACAGATATAGTACTCTGATTTGTGTTTACTTGAATGAAGTGTACCTCAGTACTGTTGCATTATAATCTGCATTTGGTCCTGCGTTTTCCTTGTTGTAAATGCCTGACACAGTAGGTCTGGCTCTCATTTAAGACAATACTTTGCTACTTTTTGTTAATGTTTGTTACCCCTAAAATGTGGTAGAATTATGAAGCATTAGATATAGCACAGGTTTGTGAAAAACTTATTTTTGTTGTCAAAATTCAAACAAGCAATCACCCTTTAATCTTTTTATAATCTGTCTTCCCATTTCTTGTGTTTTAGAGGAAGTGTGTGTTTACAGTCAAGTCAAATATTGCCACTAGATTGTTCGAAGCCATGGGTGTTTGTAGTTATACTTGAGGCTTTTCACTTCTGGATTCCATATTTGAATTAAGCCTAAATTGGTACTAATGAAAAAAAAACTTATTTCTGAGAGTTGCTTATTTGCTTATACATAATTGATATCATCCATTCATTTCATCCTAATGTATTTGTAGGTCTGCTACTATACCTGACACTTCTGTGTATTTGCAACAATCAGGTCCAGCTGAATGCCAGAGCCCTAAATATTTTTGCCATTAGCCTGTCACACTCCCTGCTATGTGCTGAAAAGCTTTGTGGGATAGCTCGTATAGATGTGTTGTACCCAGATGTTTCGGCTCAAGTGTTAGACTTCACTTTGTAAACCTCGGTTTTGGTAAATAAAATGTCGCTATCTAATTCACAATTAAATAAGGAAAAAATAAGTACAGCATCTGTGAACATTGGAAGGAGTCTAACTATATTCTCCCTTCTTGTAGGACAAGAAGAATGGACCAACTCACGACACAAGGCACCTTCTGCAAGGACAACAAAAGGAGTCTACAGAGACCAGCCATATGCCAGATACTGATTGTACTGTCTGATGTTGTGAAATATCCAATCTCCACCAGTCCTGTATACTGTTCAAAGTAATTTTTTCTATGAACAATCCCTTTTTATTAAATCAAAGTGCATAAAAATCTGAATGGATGGACTGAACTTAAAACATTTTGTTGAAAGAACAACCTGGACAGAAAGATATGTAAAACGAGGAACTTTGTTATTTCCAAACTGTATTTGAAAAAATAGGTGATCAAAAAAATAACCTTTGATTAACTAGTGTTAAACAAAAAATAGGTTTACTAAATATGTTAGTCCATTCTTTTAACATAAGCGTAACCTTTTATTTTAAAGGTTTTCAACAATTTAGTTTTAGTTTTTATTTTCAGCCATTTGCTAGATTTTCTCTTTGCAAACATGCGTAAAAAGGGAAGCAAACTACAAATGCAAATAATGTGGTATTTTGTAACTCAAGTCTTGAAATGTTCTGTAGTGTTAAGCAAAGTTTTACCCTTGCTTGATACTAAATAAACTTTTGAAAGAAAATCAGTGTGTGTGAGATTAATTTTATGCTTTATCTTATAATAAAACTTCATAAATAGTAGTAAACAGGGAGAAATGTTTAACAGTGATCAGCATAAAAGGCTCATATTAAACATTGCGCAACTTCTTTAAAAAATGGTATAAACCCAAATGTATATATATACTCACAGTAGATATAAATGCTGTTTAAAGTATCCAAATGGTATGGATCTGCTTGAGTGCCACATTAAATCAAAATATTTTTGTTAAAAATGGTTTAAAATAGCTAATGAATTTTCTGAAAAAGATGTGACTAGTTTTCATCTTGTTGAGCGTTTTTTCACTAGTGCAACTTTGGAATTTTTATGAGAATTTTGGTACGTTAATGACCACCTCGCTCCGTGCTGGAAGCAATAAACACAAAGCTTTTAAAGACTTTCTGACTTGACTAATTGAGGTCGCTTTCGTCAGAGGCAGAGGATGTGTAACCCTTAAAACGGTCTTCATTTGCAAAGGTAAATAAATCAAATAAGATTTTAATCTCACTTAATTTATCTTAATATAACCAATAAAACCAGGGAGGACTACAACTTAGAAAGTTTCATTTTAGAATGTAGGAAAGACTTTGAGGACCCCTAAATTCTCATTTTAAAACGTTTAATTTGTATTAGTAATCTAAAAAGCCTTAGCTTAGCTAGTTAAATTTGGACAAACTATTCCCTATTAAACAACTGTAAAACATCATAACCAATAGTTTGTAATATATTATTTTTCCATAAATTCTAGTAACTTAAACATTACAAGTGTTATCTAAAGCTTTTTGTTAATCATTAAGTTTCTATTAATTATAGTTTGATTTACATTGTTTTCTCTATTTTTTATTTGAAAGTCTTTGAAATGTAGTTAAAATACCTTTTTTTTTTCTTTTGTCAGGAAACCCACCTCCTCGGACAGCCAAGAGAACAAAAACCTTAATCTTCCGATGCTTCGGTGAGTATCTTTACTCATCTGCAAAATGATTAGATAAGTAATAGAGTTTTTGATTTGGTCCTTCATTCTTTATACACAAGGCTTTAATTTACGTAATGATTACAGGTACTGAGCTGGAGGCCAGCAAAAATCATTGGCTATGCTCAGTTCTGGTGGGAAAAGTCATGGTTTTAGACTATCATTAAACAGGATACTAAACTGTGCCAGTGTGCGGACACTGTCCTCTGGCTGTTTGTTTATTGAAAGGTATACGCAGCTTTGGCAACACTTCAACCAATTAAGTATTTCATTGAACAGAGGAAGGTGAAAGAAAATGAATGTAATTTTATGCGAGTAGTGTTCAAATGGGGAATTTAAAACTCTAATCTGGTCAGCAAACATGTCTAAAATGGTTTTCCAAAGCTGAAGAAAGCATTTTGTAGAGTGATTTTTCTAAGTCAGGCATTTCTGCATAAGGAGCAGACTGATTTTTTTGGCACAAATAAAGGAGAACATGTCCATTGAGAAACATTAGCTGAAGAATAGCTAGAGCTACTGTTTCTGGTGAATTCAAAATATAAAGAAATAATTTAACTGTATGTATGCTCAGATCGTGTATATTTTAAATAGAACAGATTTTTTTCTTTATTTCCTACTCGGAATGGTAATTCTTCCTGCTAACCTCGTGATCTCAGTGCCTTTAATTGACATGACTTAGACAAATAAAGCTCTACACTTTGAAATATTGCATATATAGCACTGCCTTTGTATACCACAAGAAATTTAAGAGACTGCTGTCACAGGCTGAAGGAACTTTTTGTACATACAGAATCACTTTAGAACAATTTTGAAAGGTTTAAAGTGAAGGACCCTTTAAGTTTAGGAGAACTTTGAGAAGATTTCTGTCCTCTGGGGCTCAGGGACAAAGATTTATACTATCATTTAAAAATATTTACAGTGGAATTGCCCAAATCTCTATTTCTCTTCGTGTCTTAAATCACATAACGTGATGAGTTACATAAGTCATAACAAGTTTTCATTAGCAAATATGAAGTTTATATTAACTATATACAACAAAACTTGATGGGTTGAAGCTAAAATATCTAGTAGCAAGGGTGGCTAGTGGACAAATAAGTGAATTGGAAGTTAATTCAACCTTCTGTAATATTTAGCAAGCTCTTTTTTTAATGCCATCTTTCCTTAGTGCCTCCCATATGGAGGATGAATGTGTCAGCATGCATTTGTGCTACTGTGCCACTGCTCTGCTAGTCTGCCCTGAAGTCCTGTGAACCCTTAAATTGTTCCAGGTTCCATTTGGGGTGGGAAAAAAAAAGTCTGTCCCTGTCAAATCACGCAGAGGCTGTTTGGGTGCACCATTGTGCGACAGGGTGTTATGTGACTGGATGTTGCAGGTCACATGAGTAAATTAAAAGAAAATTCCCCTCCTGACTAAAAGCGCACACACCTATCCCATGGTCAGAAGGGATTGTTTCGGTCATGTGCTGGGTGTGCATCTGACAAGATGGCGTAGTCTGTGGCCACGTGGTGTTCCCATTAAGTAGCTGTGGCCCACCTTGACGGAAAAGTTAACCATTGTTCTTTTAATGAGTTGCAAGATGTAAATTCGATACATCTAAGGAAGTTGGTGTATCTTGAGCATAATAGTGGGATGAATTTTAAATCCATGAAGTCTTCCTTCTTCCAGTGCTTTACATTGATGCACCTCATTTCTCCTAAGAAAATGTGATTTTTTTTATGCCCCTTAAAAAAAGGTTTCATCAATTCTCATGTCCAGTACACTTGTATACAATAAACTACATCAGTTCAAACAGCTGCTGTTAGATATTCTTAGAAACTACATATTTGCAGTACAAAACTGCCCTTGAAGTTCCTGAAATAACATGCACTAGCATTGTATTCTGCTGTTGCTTTTGTTTGTTTTTTTTTTTCTTTGAAGTAATCTCTGAAACTAAATCTGTTAGATTTTGAACAGAGGGAAAAATAATCTAAAAAGGTCTCTGAAATTAAAAAAAAAATATCAATGTAAAAAGCAGCCTTTCTTTTATTACGACAACCTAACCTAGAAGGTTTATCCATTCTAGTAGGGTTTTGTTTTCTGATGCTGCTAAATTGCTGTCTGTTACTGGTCAAACAAGTAGTGTTGATGATTATAATTAATTATATCATTAATTTGTCTTTATTGAACCATTTTATCACATTTGCACTGAATTTCAATTATGGCAGTTTCTGCAGTGGTTTTCATAAATCTACATACATTATATGCATAATTGCCTGATCCCACTGCTTACAATCTGACAGTCTTCAGAGAATTCATAGTTGCTAGTCGCAGGATGTATACAAATAAATTGTATTTTGCTCTTTTTCAGAGACTTCTGCCATGTTAATTACGGACCGCTTAGAGCATTGTACTTACCCGTGTGCCTAGACAACAATGAGACAGGCTACGGAGTATGAAAATCCTGTTCAGTATTTCTTGTATTAAAGCCTTAAAGTGTATGACATTATACACTTTTTAAAATTGTATATTTAAACTCTTAATTGTTTAGTGATGCAACAATGTTTTATTTGGAGCTCAATAAAGAATTTTCACCTAAGTTCCTGTTACAAAGCAATAATGCAACCTCATGTTCCTTTAGTGACTCTTCTTAGCCTTATGCAGCAAGTGTAAGAGAGTGTGTGAAGTCTCATGGCTAGAATTTAAATACTTTTGGAAATAGCTTGTCTAATGTATGCACAACATGGATAAGTTAAAATGAAGACTGGTGTTTTATGCTGAAGCTTTTCTTAATAGCTAATTGTAAACAGGTCTACTCAAAACAAGACTCTTGGGTAGAAATGATACTCCAACTTCCATTTCCTTCAGAAACTTATGTAACATAAAGGTGTTTTAATCCCTGTCGATTATAATATGCTGCTTATTCTCTTTCACTTGGTGTTTGATGCATAGAAATGTTTTCTCTGATATACAGTCACAGGTTTTCTGGTAGTAGAGTCTTGGATGAGGCTTTTACACCTTGATAAATCTTGCATCTAATAGTCATGTTTCAGTGCTTTCTGTTTTATATTAATTGTGATTGTGATAATTTATAACAAATAAAATTCTGACAATTTAATTTCTTGTGTTCTTTTTCCTAAGTACTGCTTGCAAAGTATGAGTGTCCCGTTCCTCATTTATATTTCCATCAGATGCAATTTTCTTCACTGAATTGCAAATTCATCCCAAGAACAGCATAATTTGAGTCTGCCTTCTTTATTTTGTTTTGAAAACAAGCAATATCACTTAATAGCTTCACACCAAATGCCTCCTTTTCAACATATATTCATAACTTCTAGTATCATATACTGACTATTGAAGAATGGCTTTGGAATTTATGGGGATGTGGAGAAAATTAAGATTTCCTGTGAAGCCTGGCACTGATCAAAGTGTCTTGAAGTAAGATATAATTTTTAATAGATGAAAAAAAACTTTGACTGTAAAAACAAAGTCTGTATTTTAACCTTCAAATATTTAAGGTGATTTCATCAGTTAATCTCACAATCTGGAAAGACTTTCCCTGCCATCATCTTTCACTGTACTACAACTGCAGTTCTACAATGTTTTCCACAGCAAGCAATAGCAATTATTTAAATAAGTAAAAGCAAAATCCAGAAACCTTTGAATAAGTGCAAGAGATGTATAATAATGATTCCCTTCAAACTGACAGGCAGGAACCTCTGGTGTGGAACAGCACCTAACATTTTAAATGCTAGCCAAGTATAAAAATTGTATATGGATACTGTGGGGGGAATTTAGATAAGCAGAATGCAGTTTCATTTGCTGTAATTTGGACTGGGCACCAGGATTACCAACACAATCTCATTTGAGGAGTGCTATGAACCATTTCAGGAGTGAAGTATCAAGCCTTCCACTCTGGAGTCATGAACAACAGAGCTTCTCAATGTCAGTACTAAAATATTTTGCTAGTATGATTTATTTTAATGTGTGACTATCGAAGCTGTCTAGCAAATTCAGTAATTTTCCTGCGATCTTGTCT